CCCCGACACTGTCATGACGGACCCAAGGCGCCATGTGAAAGTGCCAGGCCAGAGCCCAGCAAGCACCTGGGAACCTGGCATGATGAGAGATTAAGCAGCCTCTGCCCCTTGGGGCCTCAGTGGGTGGCTTCTGGTGACTCCACTGAGCCAGGCACAGCTCAGACCCTAAAACACATCGCCTGTAAGGCCTCATGTGCATTGAGGGTGGTGGTGGCCCCTCAGCAGACCAGGCCAGCCAAGGGGACCCGTTCCTGCCGGACACAGCTGTGCACTTAGGCCCCTCATATTCACCTGGCACAGCCACCACCACCCTTGGTCCCTTTCTCTCCACAGATTTCTGGCATCAGAAAAACACTGACTACAACAATAGTCCCTTCCACATTTCCCAGTGCTTTGTTTTAAAACTGAGCGACCTGCAGACAGTCAACGTTGGGCTTTTTGACCAGTATTTCCGGCTGACAGGTGAGTGACCACTGTGCTTTGCCCTATTTTAGGTGAAGGCCCGTGTTACCAGTGGGCTTCCACCTTCCATATGTGGGTGCATTATCGCAGGCAGAGTTATCTCTCTGCTCAGAGCGAAATCACCAGAGCAGGAGGAAGCAGCTTCAGGAACTGCTGAGAGTGCAGAACTCACCCCACAGGGCTTGGAGCCGGAGGGGGGCAAGCAGAGGCAGCAAAGTCCTGGGCAGTGCCTGGAGGGCAGGCGGAGTGGGCCTTGGACTTAAGAGCAGGATGTTTCTGACTCACACTTCCTGAAGAGAGAAAGCTAAGCTCTTTCCCTAATGCCTCTGTATCCCCTTCCAGAGAAATATCACAGCCCTTCCGGCCTGAGAAAAGGCCGTCTCCTCAGGTTCCGTGATGCTTTTCCACATGGGCCTTCCTGGCCCTGGCTCTGTGGTCTTCAGGTCCAGGCTAACCTGGCAGAGACTAGAGAAGCCTCCAAGCACAGGGATGGGGCTGGGGGAGCAGCTGCCAGCAACCCTGACCAGCCCCTTATCCCACAGGCTCCTCCCCGGTGCAGGTGGTAACATGCTTGACGCGGGACAGCTACCTGACACACTGCTTCCTCCAACACCTCATGGCCGTGCTCTCCTCCCTGGAACGCACTCCTTCACCTGAGCCTGTCGACAAAGACTTCTACTCGGAGTTTGGGAACAAGATCACAGGTACCCCTCCCTGCCCAGCTCAGGCTGCAGACAGGCCATATGGACTGACGTCATGGGCCTTCTTGCCAACCCCAAGGGTGCAGCAGGCCCCGGAGCCATCTCTGCCTCTGTCTCATTGTTTCTCTCTTGTTCTGCTTAGCCAGCTAGGGTTTTCTATGGGCTTTTCCATGGCAGAGTCGCCATCCCAGCAAACCCTCAACCATCTGGCAGATGCACCTCACGTGTCTGCTTTGCTCTGGGCGGGGAGCTGGTGCTCTGTCTCCCGCCTCCGGCAGATAGCAGCTCATGCTGCCATCTCTGGGTGGCCTGGGGCCTCTGGCACTCCCAGCCCCACCACGGGCCAGCTCCGGGCTACAGCCCCGGCGGGCATCTCTCTCTGCAGGGAAGATGGAGAACTACGAGCTGATCCACTCAAGCCGCGTCAAGTTCACCTACCCCAGTGAAGAGGAGATCGGGGACCTGACGTTCATCGTGGCCCAGAAGATGGCCGACCCAGAGAAGGCACTGGGCCTCAGCATCCTGCTGTATGTGCAGGCCTTCCAGGTGGGCGCGCCGCCCCCTGGGCACTGTAGGGGCATGCTGCGCCCCAAAACACTCCTGCTCACCAGCGCCGAGATCTTCCTTCTTGATGAAGACTTCATCCATTACCCGCTGCCCGAATTTGCCAAAGAACCACCACAGAGGGACCGGTACCGGTTAGACGATGGCCGCCGTGTCCGGGACCTGGACCGTGTGCTCATGGGCTATCAAACCTATCCGCAGGCTCTCACCCTTGTCTTTGATGATGTGCAGGGTCATGACCTCATGGGCAGTGTCACCCTGGACCACTTCGGGGAGGTGCCAGGTGGCCTAGCCAGAGTGGGCCAGGGCCGTGAGGTCCAGTGGCAGGTGTTTATCCCCAGCGCCGAGAGCCGCGAGAAGCTCATCTCGCTCTTGGCCCGCCAGTGGGAGGCCCTGTGCGGCCGGGAACTGCCCGTTGAGCTCACTGGCTAGCCCAAGCTGCCGCCAGTCCTTGCTGCCTTCCATGTCCAGCTTGGCGTCCACTCAGTACAGTGAAGCAGGCTTTCTTTGTTCTTTTTTTAAATGATTTCTCCTCCCTTTTAGGTACCTTCATTTGACTGTCCTCCCAGAGAATGTGAACATACATGTTCAGCTGGTTCTTTCTAATTGTGGGAGTGAAAGTGTCGGCCCCTCCAGGGCCTCCATGTGCCATTAGCCTTCGGTGGATCTGTTGCCTGCCCTTGGTGTGGCGTGGCCGGGCACAGTAGTGTCATGTCTCCTGTTGTAGAACTGTTGTTAACATGTGACGTCATAGGCCTTACTTTTTACGTGTAAGGACGCGTAATGTCAAGTCCAGTCTTGTTGCTGTCCCTGTGAGCATTTGCTGCTAATCATGGAGCTGGCAGCAGAATGCATATTGGAAGTTCCCACCCCGTGCAGTTTCCCAAAGTGGAGGCTTCTCCTGGTCCAGACAAGTGGGAGAGCCCTATGGGGGGCAGGAGTCCCCCAGGCCTTGAGGCTGAGCAGGAAGGGGGCAGGGGACGTAGAGCTGCCAGCACCAAGTGTGATTCCTGTTGCCTATTTTCTCTATTCCAATAAAGTAGAGTTTGACACATCTGGGTCTTTTATTTCAAGGGCTACTGGAGTCCCAGTAGGGCGTTGTCCCAGGACATGGTTGGCCTGAGGGAGAGAAGGTACCCTCCAGATGCAGGAGCGTGAGGTATTGGGGGAAAGGAAGGAGAGAGGACTGAGGAGGGGATGAGGGTAAAGGAAGCAGCTCTCCCAGGGCCAGATGCTGGTTGGGTGGCACTGGAGCCTGGGACAGGGTCGTGCTGGGCTGGTAAACCATGAGCCTCAGTGCCAATGAGTCTGAAACTCCTAGAGGCACATTGGCTCGCTGCCCTGCCTCCTGCAGGCCTGGAATGTCACACCTGGGCCCAAGCCCACCAAAGGCTGCAGACTTGTGAGGTTAAGGCCAAGAGTCTGAGATCCCTTACTGTGGGGTCTGGGGTCTCACCAAGATGACCACAGGGGGAAGGCCTGTGGGGAGGTGTCCCCAGGTATGGATAGTGGAGAGGAGGGCCCATGCTTGTGTGGGTCCATGTCCTGAAAGATGGGGATTGCCTCAGGGAGCCCTACTGAGGTGAGTCGGATTTATTTGGGACCCAGCCCGTGTCCACCCTTAACCCATTTCTACCCCTGGACAGGATTGGGGAGGAGGTGAGTGTCAAGTGGCCAACCTAGTTCCCAGGCCTTCTGCTCCTGTTTTCCCTGGGTGCCAGAAGGGTGGGGATCATGGCCTGGAGGATACATTGCCCTCAGGAAGACTGGGGGTAAAGGGGGGAGCCACTAAGGGGAAGGTCTCCCCACTGAACCCCCCACCCCACCCCCCAGCCAGGTCAAAGACCAGCCTAGCTGCCCCACCAGCTGGTACCAGGAGGGGGCGCCTGTGGAGGGGGCTGGACAGGTGACGAGGCGTCCCCCAACCAGGCTTTATCTAAGGCATTTACAAATGGCCACCTGCGTCTCCATCTCAGTCCTCTGTAAACACGACAGTGACAACCAGAGGCAGGGTGCACCACACCCGAGCCTGGCACATGGAGGCATCACCACCTAAGCTGGTCCAGGCCCCACAGCTCAGCATGTAACAGTCAACCCAGCCTGGGTCCAGTGAGGATTTTCCCTATCGGGTGAGGCTGCACTGTGTGTGTAGGGTGGGGGTGGGAGACACTGCAGGCAGCAGCTCTGGCATTGGATCTTGACACTGGTTAGCTGAGCAACCTTAGCCAAGTTACCTAGCCCCTCTGAGCCTCAGTTTCCCCATCAGTAACAGGGATAATAAAAGTAGCCACCTTCATCCATTCATTTATTTCATACATTCATTTATTCATTTGTTCCACAAATCTGTTGAACATCTACTGTGCAAACCAGCCAGACACTGTCTCTGTTCTCCCACAGCTGACATTCCAGCAGGCGACAGAAAATAAAAATAAACCAGGGTCAGCCGATGGCCAGTGCTATGGTGATATGAAGGCCAGTGACCTTTGACCTGAGACTGGACCTTGTGGTAAGTTCCTGTGAGAGGATTTGGGGTGACAGCAACACTGAGAGGGCCACTTGGCATGTCTGGCGCAGAGTGAGGGGAACAGCAACCAAGTCAGAGGGGCCAGCCTGACGTGGATGGGTGTGGAGTGCAGTGGAAGCTGTGGTGCAGGACTCCTGCGTGGAGAACAGATCAGGAGGGAGAGGCTTGCACCTCAGGAAGAGCAGTGAGGAGGCCCCTGGGGAGAGAAGGGAGGTGTAGGGAGGAAGTCAGGTTGGACCAGTTGGAGGGATAGCTGGGGCAGGTGAGAGGAGCAGTCCCCTGTGCTGTCCACTTAGCACAGAGCCTGAGAGGGAGTCAGAGGCCTGCACATGCCCTCAGCAGTTGCAAGGGTGGAAGCAGACAGACCTGATTTGGGGGCTGCTCTACCCCCAACCCCTAGAATCCCCCAGAGCCTCTGACTGAAACCCGCTGGGCTCCGGAAACACTTGGGGTGGGGATTGTGTGCATTTGCATGTGAATTTGTTTCACAACTTCTGATAGACCCCAGGCTTATGGCTAATATTGGACTTGGAGGCTGTGATGCCAGGGGGGGTCCTGGTCCAGGAAGCCCCAAGCAGGGCCTAGGCCATCCATGCAGGGGTCAGTGGCCAGCACCTTCCCTTCCGCCTGCAGGCTGCTGATAGGCAGGAGGAAATCCTGGCGGGTTCCTGTGGGGGTGAGCTGGCGGGGCCTCCAGGCTGCTTTAAAAGCCAGTGCCCGCCCCCTCCCCGCCCGCTCGCCCCGTGCCTGCCTCCCGGAGCTCATTCTCCACACAGGCTGCCCCAACGCTGTCCGCCAGCAGCCACTGGCCATGGCGGGGCCCCGGGGCCGCCTCCTACTCTGCCTCCTGACCTTCTGCCTAGCAGGCTCCAGCATCACCAGAGGGCAGAAGGTGAGTGCGAGCTAGTTGGAGGGGGACATGGTATCCAGGCTCTGCCGGCCAGCGGTGGGAGCAGGGCGGGGGTGTACACAGGTCGGGCAGAGTCTGAAGACACACAGGGAAGCTGGTACCTGTCTGACCTCTGAGCAGGACCCGAGGGCCAGGCTGTTGTGTCCACCTCCCCAGGCTGCGGTCTATATGTGGCTGCTTGAGGTGGCAGGGGTGGCAGCCTGCCCTCCTCTAACTGTGCCCAGCCAGCCAGCTGTGTGGTGTGGTGTGCGGGCAGCCGTCCTCAGGTCTCCCCCAACCTGAGGGGAAGAAGTCCAGAGCCAGGCCCATCCTCCCACCCTGGAGAGGACATCACCTCCAGCCCTCTGCAGGGCTCACAAACCGGGAGACTCACACGGCACATGTGTGTAGGTGCTGGGTGTGTGTGTGCATGTGCGTGCCTGTGCCCAGTCCCGAGAGTGCCCTGAGGCACAATGAGGTCTGCTGACCACAGTGCCTCCGGGTACACAGCAGCCAACGGTGGTACCCTCGAGCCTAAAAGCTGCCGTTGACCAAGCGCACCGCGCCCACCCAGCATTATCCCCTCAAATCCGCACAGTCCCTGCGCAGTGAGTCTTGTTCTCCACCTGAGGAAGCCAAGGCCCGAGGATGGTGGCGATAGGTCAGTCCAGCTCTGGAGCTGTGCTCCAGACCACCTTCTGCGGTTCTCTGTCCAGCTGCTTGGGAGGAGCAGACGGGTCCGGTGTGTGGCTATCGGGTCCATGTGTGCCAGCCCGTTCCAGACTGCCTCTCTGTGGACCCACCCTGGCTCTATAGTTGGGACAGTGTCCCTACTAGAGTTTCTGGAAGAGCCTCCCATCCTGAGTATGGAAATGGAGCCACCTGGCTGGGGCCCACCTCCAGGTGAGGGACCCTCCCTTGTGAGGCCAAGTTCATCTGATTCTTGGTGTAGCTGCTGCTGTCCCTGTATCACTAACAGGAAGACTGAGGTCCAGAGAGAAAAATCTTGCCCAGAATCCCACTGCCAGACAGAACCAAGAAAGGAACCCAGGCCCCCTGCCACCATTGGACTTTTTATCTTATGCTCCTTATAGTCCCTCAGAGAAGGGGCAAGGAAAGGGATCTTGCCAGTTCCAAGGCCAGGTCAGGATTGGGGACGGACGGCTCTGAGGCTGGAAAGGCGACAGTGGTGGTGGAACAGCCAAGGGTTACAGGCTCTTCCTGCAGGTGGGTTCCTGCTCCCTCCCTGCCTCAGTTTTCCCACATCAAGGGAATTTCTAAAGCCTTTTCACCTCCTCATGTTCTGGTAACAGGAGTCGGTGAGGGGCTTCAGGCTGGGAATTTTTCCTTGCCAAAGACCTATGGCTCTGACCACCTCTAAGCCTGCGTTCCAGGGCTGGGGCTCAGCCAGCCTGGGCCAGGGAAAAGGGGCCCAGGGGGCCTCCTCTCACACAACCTCAGACACTCAGCCATCACAGCCTCCCATGTATCATGAGACCCACTGTTAGTATTAGGAAACTGAGGCTCTGAGGGGAAGGGACAACCTCCGGATCACACAGCCAGTGTGGGGCAGGAGCATGACTCAAACCCAGGCAGGTTCAGGCAGTAGAGGCAGGGAAGGCTTCCTGAAGGAGGTGGCTTTAGCACCTGTTCATTCAACAGCCTTCTGTGCTAGGAGTGTGCTGGTGCTGATGAAGCTGGGGTTTGAAGGCAGAGATGTATTGATCTAGGGCAGAAGAAGCAGTTTGGGGGTCCCTTCCTCTGAGGGAGTTTGGGTTCTGGGCCCTGGATTCCAGCTTAGGAGAATTCCTTCCACCTCCTCAAAACCGACTCAGTACCTCATATCTCCTCAATTTCCCCAGCAGCGTCTCTGTGGGAAGCAGACGTTGCAAAATCAATTGAGGCAGGGTGTGGGGCAGCACCCGCCTGGCTCAGGCGGGTCCCGAGGTGCCCCCAGGAAGACGGGAATCTGATTCAGCACTTGGCCATGATCCAGCCTCCCTCTACCCAGAGGGATCAACAGTTGAGACTGTGGGCTGGGGCTGCTGATGCGTCTGCCAGGCCGCCTGACAGAAGGGGCCTGAGTGTCTGCCTGTGGGGTGGTCCGGAAGAAGTGCAATTTGGCTACGGGCTCATCCATCCATGACCATTTCACACCCATTTACAAAGGAGATATCCTGGGAATGAGTGCCCACACAGGGCTCCGGCTTCCTCCCGTGTCCAGAACTCACCCACCACTTCATCAAAAGAGTGAGGACAGCGAGCTCCCCTTCCACCTGAGCTCTTCTCCAGGGCTGACGGACATTCCTCTAAGAGCTGGCCCCCGGGCCAGTGGTGACCACGCTGGCAGCCTTGTCCAGCTGGCCAGGTGGTCCTCAGGGAAGCTTGCCACCCACCAAGCCTTTGCCCTGAGCCAGCAGCTGCCCAACCCTGGAGTTACCCAACTTCCTAGTCGCTCCCTGGCTCAGCAAAGATGGAGCCTGGGGTAAGGAATGAGGCCACCCTCCCAGCCCACAGCTCAGCCTGAAGCTGCTCACAGCTTCCCTCTTTGCAGACCGCAGAGGCATGAACGGAAAAGGCCAAATCACAGTGGCAGAAAGGCCCTGGGATCTTTGTGTTCACCAGAAGAAAGTGTCAGGCACTAATTTTCCTCTTCCCTTGCTTGGAGAAGCCACACATCTGTAACGTGTTCTAGGAAAGACATGTCCAGGGCTCACTCCTTTTGACCCAGTGTGGTCAGCATTTTTTAGATGAAAACATCTCAGCTCTCCAGGCCACGCCTCAAGCCCCCCAAAACCTCTCCCCAATCAAAATGCACCTTCCCATGGTACTTTCTCCCACTTACATCCAAGAGTTTAGCTTCTGTCCCTCCAGGGTGCAGTGCTGTAGGTTGTTGGGACTTCGTTGCTGTAGAGGTGATATAGCCTCGGGGATGGTGGACTTGTGAGAGCTACAACAGGCCAGTGAGTGGGACCACAGGGCCAGTGCTTTCTTGGCATTCTCAAGTGACAACCTCTACCTCCCTGTACACACCTCTGTTCTCCATGCAGTAGCCAAAGGGCCCATTTAAAACACAAACCGAGACATGGGGCTGCCTCCACTCAGCCTCACCTGGACGACCTGGCCTCCAGCCCGTCTCCAGGCTCTCCATGGCTGCTCTCTGCCTCATCACACACTTTAGTTTGCTTCTTCCCTCTTCCTGCCTTTTGCCTCTCCTGTCCACTCTGTCAGGAACTCTGCCCTAGCCAAGTCTCATGCATCCTTCAGGCCCAAACTGAATCGTCACCTCTCCAGGAAGCTTCCTGGGCCTCCAGCCTGGGTCCTCTGAGCTCCCTCACTGCCAGCATTGCCCATCTGACGATAGACAGTAGACCCCTGAGTCCTGGCCAGTGTGTGGGGCCATGTGCCAGGTCTGGGCTCTCAGGGCTCAGGGAACATGACTGCTTGGCTCAAACGCATGCAGACCCCCTTGGACATGCCTGCTCACGCAGGCCAGCCTCTCACGTCTGGGGCAAGCTCCTGGGTTCCTTGGGCTTGCTGAAAGGGTCATTTGGCAGCAAGGTGGGGTAAGCTCAGAGTAGAGTGGGTACGGGTGTCTTCTCCTCCTAGTGTCAGTCATGTCATTTACTGTTTATTTTTAATGAAAGGCAAGAATGAGCACTAGGGAGAGAGTCCAGGCTCCAGTCCCTGATTTGCACCATCGAGGAGTGGCTTTGAGAAACTCACTCATAGCTCAGTTTCCTCATCTGAAAGGGCTGAGGTGGAACAAAACAGCTAGAATCTCTTCATGTCAGAAAGTATAGAGACTTCTGGGTGTGCCTTCAGGACCCTGAACAGAGAGAGGTGCATGGCTGTGACATAGGGCCATGCCATGTCAGTCCCAACAAGGTACAGGCAGGTTTTCCCCCGTTTCTCGGGGCTTTCCCTGTCCCCTCTGCATTGCCACTGAACAGGTGGGAAACCAAGGCCTGGAGAGGGGTACTTGCTGTCCGTAATCAGGGTAGAGTCAGAACCGGTCCAGGGTCCAGGACCCTCACTCCAAACCCCACCCATGGCCCAGGTGCGGTCCAGACACTGCGATGTGAAGACCAAGTTTGTCACTCATGTACCCTGCACCACGTGCGCTGCCATCAAGAAGCGGGTGTGTCCCTCAGGCTGGCTTGCGGCGTTCCCAGAGAAGATATCACAGGACTGCCGGTGAGGACCCCCTCCCCTATCTTTGCCCTCTTCCAGAAGCATCCTGTCGGGTGTCAGGGGGCCAGGAAGAGCCTGGCAAACCTGGGGAGCAAAGGCAGAGACTCACTTATCCACGCATGTGCTGGCTCCTCCTGTGGGGGAGAGAGAGGAAGGGAAGAAGAAGTATAAGGGTAGGGGCAGGTGGCATTTACTAAGCACCTACTATGTGCCAGGTCCTGTGCTCAGTTCTGGGCCAGGCAAAGAGAGGGGAGGTGGAGTAAGAACGCTGGAACCCAGCATCAGGAAACTGAGGTGGGGGCTGCAGGGTGGGAGCCCTCGGGTGGGAGCCCCTCCCATCACGCTGCCCACCCTTTGTCCACAGCTATGAGGTGCAGCTGGGGGACTCTCTGGTGTCCATGAGCGGCTGCAGCCTGGAATGCTGGAAGGACATGGTGCAGAAGGCCTGCTGCCCTGGCTACTGGGGGTCCCAGTGCTACGGTATGGGAGGAGGGGATCCCCGCCTTGCTCCTCACACCCCAGCCCTAGGCTCCCCATCTGCAGCATCTGCCCGCATCCTCCTTTACATTGTTCATTTAATGAACATTTACTGAGAGCCAACACAGCTTGTCGCCTGGTTCTGGCTGCCACGGGGGTGGGCTGAGCCTGGGGCTGCCCAGAGATGCTGGGGTCAGGGGTGAATCAAGAGTTTTTGGAGCACAACTGAGTTCTGGGGGGTCCACAGAGTGCCCTGGGGGTGCAGAGACCCCATGCAATGGCCATGGGACCTGCCTGGATGGCATAGACAGGAACGGGACCTGCGTCTGCCAGGTAAGGGCAGGGCAGGCTGGGGTGGGGGGCCACGGAGAGGCCACACTGACTGGGTGTATTCTTCCACCAGGAAAACTTCAGTGGTTCAGCCTGCCAGGAGTGTCAAGATCCCAACAGGTTTGGGCCTGACTGCCAGTCAGGTGAGCACTGGCCGGGCAGGAGGGAAGAACCGGTGTTCACTGGGGGACCTGTGGAGACCCAGGCCCTACAACCAGCCCCTTCCAGCTTCCCTCCTAGTCTCTGAGCTTTGCACTTGCCCTAGAGGGACACAAACTTTGGTTCATCACACCGCCAGCCCTTGCACATGTTATTCTTGGAGGCCTCCTCCAGGAAGCCCTCCCTGAACCCCCAGGCTGGGCCAGGTACCTCCCTGGGTCCTGCATCACAGCTCTGTAGTCTTGAAGTTGTGCCTGAGTTCTGGAACTGAGTTCTGGAAATACAGAGAGCAGGGACTCAGTGGCTCTGGTTGAGACTAGGGTCCCACCGGTCCCTGTGTGTCCCTTCCAGTGTGCAACTGTGTGCATGGCGTGTGCAGACGTGGGCCACTCGGGGATGGAAGCTGCCTGTGCTTTGCTGGATACACTGGACCCCACTGTGACCAAGGTGAGCAGGTACTGCTGGGGCAGCCAGGGCAGCAGGTCCTCGGTGGCCAGAACAGGAGAGGTCACCTGGGTGAGAGATGGGGCCTGAGCCTCAGCGGGACCTCTGCCCACAGCCTAATTTCTTTCTAAGCAGGAGAGGCACACAGCAGGTTGGGGCAGAGGGTCTCTCATCTGAGATCTCATCTGCCCAGAGGATCAGAAAGAGCAAGGCCTTGGTCAGAGTCACATAGCAAATTGGGCAGAGCATATGCTCCTTGTTCCTTCACAACCTGGGGCTTCAGTCACTGCAATACTCTCCCCTCTCCACTCAGAACTGCCCGTGTGCCAGGCCCTGCACTGTCCCCAGAATTCCCAGTGTTCTGCAGAGGCCCCCACCTGCAGCTGCCTGCCTGGCCACACCCGGCAGGGCAGCGAATGCCGAGGTATGTCTGAGACCTATGGCCTGGGGCCACAGCTCAGGATGACCAGGCAGTGGAAGGACGTCCTTTTAAACCAGCAAATGCAATCTGACCATTTACAGGGTGGGAGAACTGTCCCTGAGGGAGGTGAAGGGTGCCTGTCCCCAAGGTCTAGATCAACCTCCTCACCCTGTCTTTGGGCCATCGTGATGTAAGCTGTGGAGACAGGCTCTTGGATGCCCAGCTCACTTGAGCTTTTTCTCTCTGCCCTGGCAGCGCCTGACCCCTGCCGGCCATCACCCTGCTCCCCATTGGCCCAGTGCTCAGTGAGCCCCAGTGGGCAGGCACAGTGTCGCTGCCCCAAGAACTACCATGGTGACGGGATGGTGTGTCTACCCCAGGACCCGTGCAACACCAACAATGGTGGCTGCCCCATCAACTCCACTTCGTGTCTGTACCAGGGGCCGGGCAAGGTGAGCTGGCACCCGGGCTGGGCCTGTCCCTCAGTCCACACACCCACACTGGCTGGGGGGACCCTGGGCAAATCAAGGGCCTTCTGGAAGCGTCAGGGGCCTCAATTGTAAAATGGGAAAAGGATAACACCCTCTTCTTGGAGGGCGGCTGTGGGGGCCAAGCAAGCTCCGTGGGTGTGGCTGATGCCAGCGGTCCTCATGGACATGATGTCACCCTCCTGACCCTGCCCTGTGGCCCAGGCCTCTTGCACGTGTAAGCCAGGCCTGGTCAGCATCAACCACAATGCTTCCGCGGGCTGCGTTGCCTACTGCTTCCCCTACTCCTGTGATCGGTCAGCTACCTGCCAGGTGACCCCTGATGGGAAGACCAGGTAGGCACAGGGGCCTCAGGGTGGGCACCAGGGACAGGGTAGAGAGGGTGGCCTGGGCAGGAGCAGGGGTGCACACATGTGTGTCCTCAGCTCAAGGCCCTGTGGGGACAGGTGGGGGTGGGCCAGGAGGTGGGGACTGGCCCCACCCCCTGCCCTAACCAGTTCTCCCTGATCCCTAGCTGTGTGTGCAAGGAGGGCCAGGTGGGGGATGGGCGTGCCTGCTACGGACACCTGCTTCACGAGGTGCAGAAGGCCACCCCGATAAGGGCCGTGTTCCTGGGGCTGAGAGCCGCCCTCTCCATGCTGGGTGTGTGACCCCACCCCTTGCACCCAGCACTGCTGGCAGGGAGGGAAGGGGGACTCTGCAGAGATGCCTCGTTTCTCTGCCCAAGTGCTATGGAAGCAAGAATGGGCTGTGGGGGCTGCATGGTGGAGGTGGGAGCTAGCCCCAGGCCCTGATGCCCACATCTTCCCTAGACCTAGACCCAATGCCCTGACCACACTCTCCCAAACCTAGGACTTATGCCTGAGGGTCTCCCCAGATCCATTCTGATGCACCCTCTCCTGGTCTCCTCCCCCCCGCCCCCCAGACCAGGGCTGCCGGGAGATCGTCACCACGTCAGGCCCGTTCACTGTGCTCGTGCCGTCCCTCTCCTCCATCAACTCCAGGACCATGAATGTGAGACCCTCATCGAGGAGGTGGCTGCCAGCCCTTGCCTCCTTCCTGGGCTCTGACCCAGGCTTCGGGGCCTGAGAGACTCCCCAGTCTACGCTCTGGGGCACTGAGGCCTGGGAGGCACCTTGTCCCCTCCATTGCTAGGGCAGGGCAGGGTGGCATGAAGAAGACTGCCCGCCCTGGGCCCCCAGGCACCCTGATCCCCTTGTGCCCACAGGCATCCCTTGCCCAGAAGCTCTGCAGACAGCATATCATCGCAGGGCAGCACATACTGGAGGACTTAGGGACCCAGCAGCAAACACGCACGTGGTGGACACTGGCTGGACAGGAGATCACCGTCACTTTCAACCGCTTCATGGTAAGTGAGGTGGAGTATACCTCAGCCTGGGGACCACAGGAGTCACAGGCTGGGGACATAGCTTGGGCAAAGGTGTGGAAGTGGGAAGAGCCTCGGGACAGGGGCTAGCATGTGGAGTCTGAGCCAGAGTTCTCGTTTCTCATCAGAAATACACCTACAAATACAAAGACCTGCCCCAGCAGACATTCACCATCCACAAGGCCAACTACCCGGCAACTAACGGCGTCTTCCACATGGTCACTGCCCTGCGGTGGCAGCCCCCACCAGAGCTCCCTGAGGACCCCAAGGTAAGCCAGTGCCTTCCTCTCCCCCAACCTTGTGCCGCTGGGTGACCTCTGACCCTCCGCAGAGTTCAGAGAGGTGGCAGGAGTCGTTCTGGGCAGGGCTAGGGCAGACCTCCTTTCCCTCTGGAGCTGAAGCAGCCTCGTCCTCTTCTCTGCAGCCCTAATGCTTGTCCCTTCCTACAGAAAACCATCGGCCAGATCCTTGCCTCCACTGAGGCCTTCAGTCGGTTTGAAACCATCCTGGAGGTGAGTTTGGAAAAAAGGTCCTAGTCCATCTGATCTTTTGGGCCAGGACGCCTCATTATCCAGACTCTGCCCCACAGTGATCTGGGATTCTGGAGTAGCATGGAACCATTGCTGATGTCTCCCACTCACTCGTGATGGGAGTTCTCTGTGGGCCGAGGGTGGCAGGGCCCAGGCAGGGCTCAGAGATGGGGGCTGGCCATAGAGCCTCCCTGAGCCTTCCTCCCACCATCATAGAATTGTGGGCTGCCCTCCATCCTGGACGGACCTGGGCCCTTCACAGTCTTTGCCCCAAGCAACGAGGCTGTGGACAACTTGCGTGACGGCCGCCTGATCTACCTCTTCACAACAGTAAGCTAGGCGGAAAGAGGGCACTGGGGCTATGGGGGCACCCGGGCTTCCACCTTCTCTACTTGGGCCTCCAGCAGCCAAGCCCTCTCTCTCCTGACAGGGTCTCTCCAAACTGCAAGAGCTGGTGAGGTACCACATCTATGGCCACGGCCAGGTGAGAGGTTCTCCTCCTAAAAGGTGGCCAGCTTGCACCCACTGCTGGGCTGTTGAGGGGTTTGTCTGTGGGTTCCAGCCTTCCCAGGGGCCCCTTCTCTCCTCGCCCATTTGGACTACTATTAACACAGAGGCAAGCCCGGGGACCAAGGCAATAGCCATGAGTCACCTGGATAGGACCCGGTGTGGCCCTGAGGTGTGTGGCTAGTGTCCAGCTGAAGGTTACCCTCTCCTCTGCCCCAGCTCACCATTGAGAAGCTCATATCCAAGGGCCGGGTCCTGACCATGGCAAACCAGGTCCTGGCTGTGAATATCTCCGAGGAGGTGAGATCCAGGAACATCTAGAATGAATGGACCAGTGGAGGGGCTGGTGATGACTGGCCAGTTATTCAGCCTCTGTCAGATGTGCCTTTATGCTCCAAGCCCTGTGGTGGGCAGGCCTTGGTAGGGGTCATATGGGAGGCAGGCACAGATCAAATTCTTCTCCTGGAGCCTGACAGGCTGGGAAGGCTTCAAGGAGAAGGAGAGCACATGGCCGGGGGTGCTCCATGTGGCAGAAACCATGTAGGTGAGGGCACGGAGGCTGGAGCAGTGATGCCAGAGCAGGAGGCATTGCCAAAGAGAGGGGAGAAGGGGCAGTGGGGCAGGTTGGGCTTTCACCTTGCTGAGCTGCAGAGGTGGGGGTGGCAGCAGGGGTCGGGCAGAACTTGCCGGGCTGGGTGGGTTGCACACTGGGCTCTACCACAGGGACGCATCCTGCTGGGACCTGAGGGGGTCCCGCTGCGGAGAGTGGACGTGCTGGCGGCCAATGGTGTGATCCACATGCTGGAGGGCATCTTGCTGCCCCCAACCATCCTGCCCATCCTGCCCAAGCACTGCAGCCAGGAGCAGCACCAGATCGTGGTGGTGAGTGCACACCACACAACCTGGGCCTTTCTGAGACCCCAGTGCTGCCTGTGTAGGGGTCATCTTCCAAGAGAAGTTCTCCTCAAGTGAGTGGGTGGGCTGATGGTGGCTCTGGGGCCCAGGCACAGACCCCCCTGCACTCGCCCATATCCCCTCAGTAACCCTAGTGATTGTGAGACCATTCTGGCATCTTCTGCCCTGCCAAGGCCTGGAGCGCTCATGTTGTCGCATGAAGCTCCTGCCCACGGCACGGCCTTGGTTCCTGCGCTTCTCTGCCCACATGCCAGCTCCGGGCCCTCCCGTGATTGATTCTTTCTCATACCTCAGCTTTTGGCTTCATGCCTTTTTCTTAGGGTTTGCTGAATAAATAAGCCGGGACTAACTGTTCTCCCCGACTCCCTGCCCAGGGCTCCTGTGTGGACTGCCAAGCCCTGAACACCACCAACACGTGCCCCCCTAACAGCGTGAAGCTGGTGAGCTTCCCTTGGCCCAGCGCTCAGGGCTGACTCCTGACTGCCCGGGGTCAGGGTGGGACAGTGGGGCTGGGAGGCTAGGCTGTACCTGAAGGTTCAGCACCCCACAGCACCACTGAGGTTGGGATTGCTGGGTCCAGGGGGTTGAGGTCCCTTGACCAGGGCTGCCTGGTGAAGGGGGCTGGCCTAGAACCCATACCTGCTGACCAGCCTTGCACGACCCACCCCAGGACATCTCCCCTGAGGAGTGTGTCTACGTCCATGACCCTACTGGGCTCAACGTCCTGAAGAAGGGCTGCGCCCGCTACTGCAACCAAACCATCCTGGTGAGCCTGGGCACAGGACGCTGGGTCCCCAGTGACCTGGGATGCTTCCTTCTCCTCTGGGGCCCCCAGGCTGTGTCTGAACAGGCCGCCTTATTCAGAGAGCTGTGCTACATTCTAACGGTAGAAAAGGTGTCACAGAGGGGCCTCCCCCACCCCCGGGGACACCCCCCCTCCCCCACGCTCTACAGAAGATAACAGGGAGCAGAAGCTGCCTGGGCAGTGGAGGTGGCATGGTGTAGACAGACCTTTAGACGTGCTCTGTCTCTTACAGAAACCTGGCTGCTGCAAAGGGTTTTTCGGGCCTGACTGTGCACAATGTCCTGGGGGCTTCTCCAACCCCTGCTATGGCAAAGGCAACGTGAGTTCCTTCCTGACCTGGGGGGAGGTGTGGGGAAGATAGGGTCTTGGCCAGAGACTGGCTGTGTATCTGAACCAACGCTGTCTCTCCCTGGCCTCAGGCTCCTCACATCTAGGCAGTGAAAGTTGGATCATTTGATTTTTACTATTTTAATTAGAAATAATTAATTAGATAGATTTTTTTTTTAAAGATTTTATTGGGGAGTTGGGAGAGGGGAACAGCGCTGGGGAATCGGGGGAAGGGAAACAGACAAGTTGCTGTTGTTTTGTTCTTCAATCTAGTTGTGGAGGATGTTGCTTCACTGGACCAAGTTGGCACCATCATTGCGCTCTTCCCGGGTGAGGCAGATCAGTCGGACGGCCGCTCACTGAGGCTGCTGGCTACACACGGTAGCCCATGGCAACCAACTGCCACAGGGGCTGCAGCCTACGCCATCGCCGGCAACTCACAGCAGCCCAGCTCCAGGTTGAGCTGTTGTTCAGCATCTTAGCTGTAGAGGGAAGTGTCACTGGCCCTCATATGTGGAATCCGAACCGGGGTCCTCTGGAGTCCCAAGCCAGTTCTTAACCAACGCACCACTAGGCCGGCCCTAGATAGATTTTTATATCTATTTTCATACAGGCTATTTGTGAGTAGTTTTCTTTCTTTTTTTTTTTTTTGCCACTTTGTAACATCAGGGTTACTTTAACACCTGGCTAGGGAAGAACACAGGAGTTATGTTTCTAGGCTGAGCAGAAGTCATCCATGAAGCCTCCAGGGCCAGGTGCCCTTTCGAGGGCTAGTTCTTTGGCACATGGGTGATTTGAAAGATCTCTTCCAGGGCGAGGTCTTCTAGGGGGAGCAGGAGCTCAAAGCCAGCCCACGGTAGAAAGGGGTATTGGGGGTCAGCCGAGTGGCGCATTGGTTAAGAGCTGGCTTGGGACGCCAGAGGGCCCCGGTTCGGATCCCACATATGAGGGCCAGTGACACTGCCCTCTACAGCTAAGATGCTGAACAACAGCTCAACCTGGAGCTGGGCTGCCGTGAGTCGCCCGCAACTGCATAGGCTGCAGCCCCTGCTGCAGTGGGTTGCCATGGGCTACTGTGTGTAGCCAGCAGCCAGCGTGAGCGGCCAGCAGCCGCCGTGAGCGGCTGTCCAGAGGCCGGCGACTGATCTGCCTCGCCCGGGAAGACCACAATGATGGTGCCAACTTGGGCCAGTGAAGCAACGTCCTCCACAACTAGACTGAAGAACAAAATGACAGCAACTTGTCTGTTCCCCTTCCCCCAATTCCCCAGCACTGTTCCTATCCCCCCAATTCCCCAATAAAAGTCTTTAAAAAAAAGGGGGGGGTATTGGGTGGAAGGGGGGCATGTGGAGAATGCCTTCCCCATGACCGATCCTACCTCCTGCCCACCCCCAGTGCAGCGATGGGGTCCAGGGCAATGGGGCCTGCCTCTGCTTCCCGGACTACAAGGGCATTGCCTGCCACATCTGCTCCAACCCAAACAAGCATGGAGACCAGTGCCAGGAAGGTGGGTAGTCCTGGCCCACACTATCTGCCAGGGAGAAAAAGGTTCTGTTTGAAAAGGGGACTGGGAACTCCCAAGAAGGGGAATAGAACCCCTGGAGGATGGGTGAAGGCCGGAGGGAGTGGAGGAGGATTTGGGAACAGAAATAGGCGTCTCCTTCACCCATGCCAGAAGGAAACCCATGGTTTAATATGAAGTGTTCAGGATTTAGGTTGGACACACAGAACTTCCTAAAGGTGAGTTTGCGGACAGGGCAGCTAGAATGGGGTGACTGAAACCAATGAGTGCCTCTCTCATTTCCTCTGAGCACACATTGAGTCTGGGGTGACCCCTAATTTTGTGACCCTGAAGTCAAATCTATGTTGGCTACCCTGTTCCCAGCACTCCCCCAACTATATACTGGCTTCCACCCAGCCCTGCCCCTGCCTCAGTTTCCCTGCTCCCATCTTCTTCCTGCAGACTGCGGCTGTGTCCATGGTCTATGTGACAATCGTCCAGGCAGTGGGGGTGTGTGCCAGGGCGGCACATGTGACCCAGGTTTCAGCGGCCGCTTCTGCAACGAGTCCACAGAGAGCTGTGGACCCACAGAGCAGGCCCAGAACTGCCACCTGCATGCCCGCTGTGTTAGCCAGGGGGGCATCGCCAGGTGGGAGCTCGAGTTTCCTCTCTGCATGTCCATGATGTCACTTGTCGGCTTGCTCAGCCTCTAGCCATTCCAGAGACTTACTGGAGGCCCCTCATTCACCCACCCCCAGGTGTCTTTGTCTCGATGGCTTTGAGGGTGATGGCTTCTCCTGCACACCCAGCAACCCCTGCTCCCACCCAGACCGTGGTGGCTGCTCTGAGAACGTCAGTCTCATTGTCCCTTCCCTGAAGTCCTGACCCAGGGGTGGGAGATGGGACTCCCTTGTCCTTTGTACTCTGCCCACTGCCCTGCAGCCCTGAGTCATTTATCCATGGCTCTCACAGGCTGAGTGTGTCCCTGGGACCCTGGGCACCCACCACTGCACATGCCACAAAGGTTGGAGCGGGGATGGCCGCATCTGCGTCGCCATCGATGAGTGTGAGCTGGATGCGCGAGGTGGCTGCCACGCTGACGCCCTCTGCAGCTATGTGGGTCCCGGGCAGGTGAGGTGCAGCAGGCCTGGAGACAGCAGAGTAGGGTGGAGGGGGTCTCTGTTCTGAGGGACTCTCCCTGTACCCCATCTGACTCCAGGAACATCCACTCCAAAAATTCAAGCTCAGGGTCTCAAACCTCAGACACAAATGAGAACCCAATTCTGAGATGTTGAGTCGTACAGTCTGGAAGCAGCTGACGTGCTGAAAGCTGTGTGAAGGACCCAAGAGTTTTAATGGAAAGTGCATTCCAGGGCCAGTCGAAGGCAGCATTTTCTCCAAATCAGAAGGCTGTCACTCTTGTCTCTTAGGAATGAGGACTCTCGGAACCAAATCAATGAGTTCTCTGTTCTAACTGGCTACCAGGGCCATTGTCTTCTGACAATTAGATCATTCATTCACTCATTGGTTTCCCATGTGTTACCAGGCACCTGTTCCATGCTAGTTCCTGTTCTAGACTTAGAAATTCGATGCTGAGCAAAGAAGGAAGAGACCCCTGCCCAAGGGGCTTGACTTCCCAAAATCTTTAGACTCATGGACTCAGCTCTGGAACTTTGCAATCTCAGACTAGTCACAGGGTCTCCGAACCCGGAGCCTTCCACATGAGGCACTTGAAGCCTGGGAAGCCCGAGGACTGGCTGGCATTTAAGAATATCGAATACACCAATTGGGAGGCCAGGCCTGGCTGGCTCAGGTCAGCCTCTGCAAGGCCCAGGCTTGTGCAGGGACCCATGGAACTCCCTGTCTTCTCATTCCTTGATGGTCTGGGCCACCAGCCCGTAGGACCTTAGCAGTGAGAGCTCAGATGGGCATGAGAGCTGGAGTTCTGAACTCCACCAGGAGCTTTCAAGTTCAGAGCTAAGAACTGGAATAAGCAGGTTGAGATGCCCCTCAATTTGCAAACAAGGGCACCTGAGACCTGGGGAGTCTCACCAGTCACTCACCTGCAGTGGAACAAGCCCAAGGACACTGTCGTTTAGTGGGAAGGATCAGAGCTGCCCAGCAGGGTGGCAGGGTTGGAGGTGGGATCAAGCTGCCATCCCCGGGGCTGACCTTGGCAAACTCACCGTACACCACTGACCCCAACTGCCCTAGCAGGGCCGAGGCCTGAGAGCAGAGGGGCACGTACTCTCTATGGATGCCTCCCTGCCAATGATCACTCTATTGGACTCAACCCAATAGCCAGTTTCCCCTCAGGGCCTCAGTCTCCCCATCTGGAACACAGCTCTCCAAGGGTGGGGCTGGGAGAAAGCTCCTCTGGGTCTGAGCAGGCCTCCCCAGGCGACAGTGCCCATCAAGAGCCCATGGAGTGGAGAAGGAAAGGGTTGGGTGCCCCTGGTGAGAGGAGGCCCTCTGCTTCCAATCCCTCCAGAGCCGGTGCACCTGCAAGCTGGGATTCGCTGGGGATGGCTATGTGTGTAGCCCTATCGACCCTTGCAGGGCAGGCAACGGTGGCTGCCATGACCTGGTGAGTGGGCTCAGCGCCTGGGGAGGCTCCCCGGGGTGGGCCTCGGCTGCAACTCTTGCACTCACTCTGGGTGTCCCTGTCTCTGGTCAGGACTGGAATCTTTCTAACCCCAAATCCAAACCCTCTTACCCACTTTCCCACACGATAGAGCTTTCACTCCTTATTAAGGCCCCAGCCCCTGCTCAGCCTCCTCACTTCACCCTGGCCCCACTGCCCCCATTCCATGCTCTTTCGCAAGGCCTCCCTGAGCTCCTCGTTGTCCTCTGACCTCACTCTGCTCTGATGCCACCATACCTCTGCCCATGTATTCTGGAAGTCTTCCCCATGCCACACCTTTGGCTAGCTCCTTCCACTCTCAGCTTAGGCCTCCTCTGAGGGTCCAGGTCCTCCTGGGTGCTCCCACAGAGCTTCCATGACCCATCTGTCATGATGGGGTAGGTAACTCATGCCAAATGCTCAGTGATCCTGGAGAGCAGGGCCAGGCAGACCACAGGAGCAACATGAATACAGACTGGATGGATAGAGAGACAGATGGTGCGGGGACGGATGGTCAGGCGTACAGTAAGAGGATGGGTGACAAGGATGAACAGAGACGTGGAGGATTGGTGTTGTTCAGCTCTCCATGTGGGTGCCAAATGGAGGGCCATGTCTCTCTGTCCCATCCCTGCCCCAGGCCACCTGCCAAGCAGTGGGGGGAGGTCAGCGGGTCTGCAGATGCCCCCCTGGCTATGGGGGTGATGGCTTCAGCTGCTACGGAGACATCTTCCGGGTGAGTGGTTCCCTGTGCTTGGGGGGAGGGGTCCTCTCATGCACCTCAGGTGGGAAGGGGCCGTGCTCAGGGCCTCCAGTTTGTTCCATGACCTCAGCTCTTTCCTTTCCATTAGGAGCTGGAGGCAAATGCCCACTTCTCCGTCTTCTACCAGTGGATCAAGGTAGCACGGGGCAGAATGCTGGGGTTGGGACTCAGATCTAGGAGGTCTCCCTGGACACAGGGGCGCCACCTAACATCTCTATGCGTGGAGGTGGGGACAGGCCTGGAGGCTGGGAGCAGGTGACCTCGAGATGGTGGCTGCCCTCATCTTCCCCCTGTCCCTCTCTGTGCTGCATGAACAGAGAGCCAGCATCACTCTTCCTGCTGGCAAGAACGTCACAGCCCTGGTGCCCTCTGAGTCTGCCATCCGTCGGCTGAGCCCCGAGGACCACGCCTTCTGGATGCAGCCAAGGATGCTGCCACAACTGGTCAGGTGGGCAACCAGGCCCAGGCCCAGGGAGGGGGCCTCTGAGATCCAGCCCCTCCCCAGAGGTTCTCAGCCTGGCATGTGTCCACCCCCAAGGGTGGAGCCCAGCCTGAGAGGTCTCTGTAGGTTACACTAACCTGGTTCCATGATCCCCCCACCTCTGCCCCATCAGGGCCCATTTTCTCCAGGGTGCCTTCTCTGAGGAGGAGCTGGCCCAGCTGGGCGGGCAGGCTGTCACCACCCTGCACCCCACCACACGCTGGGAGATTCACAACATCAGTGGGGTATGTGGTGAACCTGGGCAGAAGAGGGGTATGCAGGGCACGGGAGGGAACTTGAGTGACTACAGGTTTCCTGGACCGGGGTCCCCAAGGGATGAGATTGGGGTTCCCTTGTCCTGCCTAGGGCTGGGCTCAGAAGGTGTGCCAGGGATACTTTTGCTGCTGTGCAGTATCTTTGGGCCAGAAATGACTGCCCTGCCAAGGGTTGTCTGTCCATCTTTGTCTACGTGTGCACACCATCCCTCTCATGCATGGGCCTTGCTGAGGGTCTGTGTGCCCACCTGGTAGGTCCCAAGTCTGTGGGTGTCTGGGGCAGGCTGGAGGACACCTGTGGGTGCCTGTGTGCCCAGCAGCCTCTCTGTTGGTGCTGCACCCACTCTTAAGTGTCTACCTGTGCCCACTTGTGGCTGAGCAAGTTTGCCTCTTTCCAGAGGGTCTGGGTGCAGAATGTTAGCGTGGATGTGGCTGACCTCCTTGCCACCAACGGTGTCCTACATGTCCTCAGCCAGGTACGGCTGGAGGGGAGCGTGCACAGGGAACCTCCTGGGTAAGCCAAGAGGCGGCGACATACTGACCAGCCCCCATGCTATGTGCTAGGTCCTTCTGCCTCCAAGACAGGGCATGCTGGCTGGGAAGGGGTTGCTGCAGCAGCTGGACTCAGTGCCTGCCTTCCGCCTCTTCCGGGAGCTACTGCAGGTAAGGGCAGGAGGAGAGGGGGAGGCCTGGCAGGTTCCCAGGGGCAGGACTGAGGGCAGTTATGCACATCCCCTGACCCCAGCCCTCTGTGCCTAGCACCACGGCCTGGTGTCCCAGATTGAGGCTGCCACGGCCTACACCATCTTCGTGCCCACAAACCACTCTCTGGAGGCCCAGGGCAACAGCAGCAGCCTGGTGAGGTCACTGGGACGGGAAAACCGAGGGTTGAGGGTGAAGGCTTAGCAGGCGAGCCTCCCATCCCATGGCAAAGGGACACAGTGGGAGGAATGCCACTCTCCAGGGGCACTCGGTCACCCTGGAGCCCCCTGAGCTTCCCCTTCCCCTCAGGATGCAGACGCAGTGCGACACCACGTGGTCCTGGGGGAGGCGCTCTCTTCAGAAGCCCTGCGGAGGGGTGGACACCGCAACTCCCTCCTGGGCCCCGCCCACTGGCTTGTCTTCTACAACCACAGTGGCCAGGTTTGTGGGGACAAGGAGACCCTACCCCAGGCACCCTGTTCTTGAAGGCCCCTTCTCTTTGGAGTCCTCCTCCTGGGAGCCTCTAGCCTCTGCTCCAGGGACTGCCCACCCTGGGAGACTCCCATCAGTGGCGTTAGTCCCCGCCCCGGGGCCTCCCTGTCGCCCCAAGGTGAGGGTGGAGCGGGTGGGCTGGGCTCAGCCTCCTGCCCCACTCCCCAGCCTGAGGTGAACCATGTGCCGCTGGAAGGACCTGTGCTGGAGGCCCCTGGCCGCTCACTATTTGGCATTTCGGGGGTCCTGACGGTGGGCTCAAGCCGCTGCCTCCACAGCCACGCTGAGGCCCTGCGGGTGAGAGCCTGGGGCCAGAGGAGGGCAGCTGGGAGCTCAGAGCTGGGCGGTACTGGCCAGTGGACGGGCTCTTGGTCAGGGGTGGGAGAGCTGTCAGCCTGCCCTGGAGGAAGGAAGGTGGGTTTGGGGACCCCCTCGCCAGGACCACCCGACTCTCTGTCCCCCTTCTCCCCAGGAGAAATGTATAAACTGCACCCGGAAATTCCGCTGCACTCAGGGCTACCAGCTGGAGGTGAGGCTGGGTTTAGCACAATTCCATCCCTGCTTCGGCTGTTCTCACTGCTACCAAGGTGTCCAACCCCCAGGGTCCAGCTCTGCTTGCCCGGGCGTGGAGAGCTGGAATGGTGTGGGCCATTCGACTTTCTAGTAGGGGCCAGGAAGCCTGGGCCCAGATCTGCCCAGAGCAGGCCTCACTCAGATTTGTACCCGGAGGCCTGTGACCCTGTGGCTCAGGCCTGGATCCCGCCTCCTCTCTCCTCATCAGGTCCACCTGCCTCAGTCCCTCTCTGCCACTCCTGCTATCCTGCTCATCTGTCTCACTCACTGATACCTGTAGCCTGTCTATAAGTACTGATACCTGTCCACTGCCCTGACCCTGCCCAAGCCACTGGCTGAGCCCTCCTTCCTGTCCCCGTCTCCAGGACACCCCCAGGAAGAGCTGCGTTTACCGATCTGGCTATTCCTTCTCCCGGGGCTGTTCTTACACATGTGCCAAGAAGATCCAGGTTTGCCCTGAACCAATCCCCTCCCAAAATCTTTGACCAGAGAGGAGATGGGTGTGGGGGTCCAGGAGGAGCCTCGATTAGATTTCAAGGGCAGAGGCAGGGCTGGGACTAGGATGAGGCCAGTGAAGCAAAGGCCCGGAAGAAGGGCAAGCGAGAAGCTCTGAGGTCAGAGGGGCCAGGGAGTGGGGATGGGGGAGAAGGAGAAAGGCCCAGAACTGACACCATCAACCAGGCCCCAGGGGCGGCAACCGGGCTCAGCTCTGTCCCTCACTGTGGGATCTGGCATAGCTCTTGCTGCTTGAATCTCACCCCTGCCATGGGGGAGGGCTGTAGAAGACAGTCTCCATTTCCCTGGGTCCAACTCACTTTGTCCTATGGCTTTGTGGCCTCAAGATGCCCTCCCCTCTCCTGACATTTTGCTTCCGCTTGATATCTGTCCTGGCCTGTGCTTGGCCTCTTCTTGCATTCCGTCCCTGCAGGTGCCTGACTGCTGCCCCGGTTTCTTTGGCACACTGTGTGAGCCATGCCCGGGGGGTCTGGGTGGGGTGTGCTCGGGCCACGGACAGTGCCAGGACAGGCTCCTGGGCAGTGGGGAGTGCCGCTGCCAAGAGGGCTTCCATGGAACGGCCTGTGAGATGTGTGAGCTGGGCCGCTACGGGCCCAACTGCACTGGAGGTGAGGACTGGGGAGGGGCGGGAATGGTGGGCATCCTGGCAGAGGACAGCAGTCATGGAGACACCCCAACAGGGGCAGGACAGAGGCAATAGGTAACTCCTGTCCTCCTTTGTCTGCTCCCAGTGTGTAACTGTGCCCACGGGCTGTGCCAGGACGGGCTGCGAGGGGATGGAAGCTGTGTCTGTAATGTGGGCTGGCAGGGCCACCGCTGTGACCAGAGTAAGTGGCTCCAAAGGGGAGGCAGGTGACTCCTAGAGAGGTGGTTCCTGAGTCTGAATGACCAGAGCCTCCTATCCTCCTACCCCTCAGAAATCACTGGCCCTCACTGCACAAAGAAGTGTGATCCCAATGCCAAGTGAGTGAGCTCAGCCTGGAGCACGTGGGGAAGTGGGTGGGGATACTGGGGTCAGGGCAGGGTCTGGGTAGGCATAGGCTGACTGTTGCCATCCCTCCCAGCTGCGTACAGGACTTGGCGGCAACCCCTGCCTGCGTCTGTGCTGCGGGGTACTCAGGCAACGGCACCTACTGCTCAGGTCCAGCCACACCAATGCCCTGGGCGCTCCCTGAAATTTGGGGGTGGCATTCCCTGCCAAGCCCTCTAGGTCCAATCTCTTTCCCTGTCCCATTTCTGATCTTAGCCTTCCCTCTGACCTTTTCCTTTTTCCCATGCGTTCCTCCCCCGTCCCCACTCTGTCCCCTTGCCTGCTCCTCACAACTCTCTGGTATCATCTACCTCTAGAGGTGGACCCCTGTGCCCATGACCATGGGGGCTGCTCCCCCCATGCCAACTGCACGAAGGTGGCGCCTGGGCAGCGGACATGCACCTGCCAGGATGGCTACACAGGCGATGGAGAGCTGTGCCAGGGTGAGGCTGGGATCCCCAACCTGGATGTATGTGAGGCTGAGGGTCTGGCTTCAGTGATCTGAGTTAGACTAGGAAGGGCTGAGGGCACACAGGGGATGAGCACCTGAACGGCTGAATGGAGGGG